GTGTTACTGTGTGTGTGTGTTAACGCTGTGTTTCTGTGTCCCTCCTCAGTTTCCCACTAACGGCAGTAATCAGATCCACATCCCGGCTCTGAGTGTCGATGGTCTCTCCACCCCCGTGGTCCTCTCCCCCGGCCCCCAGAAACCCTGAGTTCCCCACAGAGCTCCTCACTGGGCACAGGATCTCCTCCCGGAGGGTCGGAGGGGTCTGGACTGATTCTCTCCACTAAAACCAGGAACTGGTAGTTTTTGTGGCGCTGTTGCCCGACTGGTAGGACTGGGAGATCTGCTGGTTTATGGACCTTTCACAAGAGGATTTAAAACCAGACCTGGAAACGCCGCCAGCCGCCTCTGATGATATTTTTAACGTGTGGGTGGATGTCTGGGCTTCATCCTCCTGAAACGCCTCCCCTCATTTCTTTCCGAGCTCTTGTAGCGGCACTTGAACGCGTCGAGGTGGAGGGATTAGTGTTCTACTGAGGGCTGACTTTAGTCGCTGCAGCAGGTTCACATTATATTAGTGAGATCAGACGTTTGAGTTTCACTGATTCACTACGGACGGACGGGTTGAAGGCCAGTCAGACGTCAAACAGGAAACAGGACGTTTTTAAAGACATTTTTGGGCTTTTTGCTCTTTATGGTCAGTTATTTTCAAAGGTGGTTATTTATTTCCTGTCTTGGGTGCGACGTTGGTTCTTTACTTTGACTCTGCTGTCGGCTCCTGACTCTCCTGGGACCAGCTTTTATCACCAGTTGAACATTTTATAAACTGCTGGATTCCTTCAGAAAAGACTTTTGGGTCCATTTAAGGGTCGTTGCTTCGCTCTTATTGGCCGCCACCTTTCTCCAGTTATGCATGGATCTTTTTGAAGCGACCAATCACAGAGGAGGGTTGATGATGCTGCTGCAGGCCCTCGTTGGGAGTTTTAACACAGCCAAGTTCTTTCTCTATAAAAGTCTCTTTATGTGACAGATTGTATATTTTCTAGAAGAGTGTGAAGACGTTTTACATCCCAAGTGAACTGCAGGAGAACGGAGGAGTGAAGTGTTTGTATTCGGACCTGCTCACATTCCTTTAAAGGGTCCATGGTTTGTTTTACTGACGAAGAGCCG